TTGTTGTGAATAAGCAATTGAGTTTATGCAAATTGCAGGTTGTGAGGGATTTTTGGGATCCTTTTGCTTCATATTTCCTAACTATTGTCTAAATGATTTTATGTTCAAAATGGAAAGAACATCACCTGTGATGGAAAGAATAGAAGCAATGATTGATGGGCAAAGAAGTAATTTTTAGTGGATTTCCATATGCTTGGCTAGAAAATTGTACAGTTTGGGTGTTTGGATACTGAGAAAATGATTTCAATCATTGTTTTAAAATAAGTATTGTATTAATAGGTGTTTGGTTGCTGACAAAATTGTCATGGTTGTTAAGAGAATTTGTTGAGAAAATTGTGATTTAATTAGAAATTAATTAGAATCATAATTTTGATTAAAATAAGTAATTATAGTTTAATGAATGAATTAAAAGGTGGGGTCCATAATCTAGTTGAGAAATCCGATGATGATTAGTGAGTGGAATCTAACTTGACATCACTTTTTGTCCATATAAGCGTTTTGTTCTAATTTAATTTGCCACATCATTAAAAAAATGTAAAAAATGTCACATGGACGGAGTTAACGGTCCAAACTGATGAAAGGGCCAAAATTGTACAGTTCTTAGAGTTGAAGGATAAAAAAAGTGCAAAAAAAAGTTAAGGGCCTAAAAAGGTGTAAAACCATAAAGTTAAGAGACCAAAATTAACATTTAACCTACAATTTAACCATTTAAAAACTCACATAGAAAACATCTTCCAGATTCATGACATAAATATTGATCTTTCATTCTCTTTTCAATATTTATTTATTTATTTTTGTTGTATGTGGACCAAAAGAGCAGAGAGGGCTTGACGGGAAAGAATGTATATTATTGTTAATTCACTTGACTCTTCTCTCTTCCTCTTAAGAAAGATAATTTCACAAAAGTTGCATTCGAAAAAACAAAAAATACAACACAGCATACTAGCATGGTCAAAGCTTTGTAAATAGTGATTATAGCCTATTGTGAAAGGCAGTAACATCACTTTTAGTAACCTGTGGCCCATGATCAAGTAAGCTAGTTGGCAACAGCACAACTAAGAAAGTACATTAGATTAGAGAGAAAATAGCTAAGGGATTGGTTTCAAAAGCATTTAAAAGTAAATACAACACAAAGAATTACCTGTTGTTTGAAGATTCTATAGTGAAGTTGTTGGCAACTAAATTTCTGCATATTACACAACATAAAGATAACTATTTAGTTTCACCATGTAACTGTAAGTTGGATGCAAACCCATTTCGAAAATTGAAATCCCTCTATGATTATTGGGCATTTATAATATGCAAAGAGCTAGCAAATAATGTTTTCTAAGAAAAATGCGTATAATATTAAACAACAAATTCTAAAATATAAATACTTCTTTGGTCTAGCATATTATATTAGCATTTCAAACTTCGTAGTTGAAACCCTATTAGAGAAACATTATTTATTGTAATTACATGGTAGGTGGAATTATTGTTTTCAAAAACTAATCCCTAGTAAAAGGGATTTTTTTAAGAACCATTGTAGTAAAAGGGATTTAAAATGAAGAGGTTAATTTTGTAAAATTAAATAAATTAGAGCTTCACTTTATCAATTGGACAAAATTTTGGGACATCTCAAAATTTACAGGTGGCAAGTTGATGGGAAGAGTATGAAAGAAACGATACTTGTGTAGATTGATTTTTTATGTATGTTATGCATAAAAATATAAACCTGGAGAGGACTTACAGTTGTAAGTTTTGTTCACTAACCCAAGTAGGAAAGTTCCCGACTAAATTATTGTATGATACATCACTACAAGCACAAAGGCATGAAAATTAGTGCATAATCCAGCAAAATCATGAAAAACACCTTAAACAACACTAAGTTTTCTTGGCCACAATTGACAGTACTGAGCTCAAGCATGAATTAAATCACAACCACTATTAAATGAAGACATTCTAACATTATCCAAAACCTTTATTTATTTACTTTTCCCATGAAATATACGCATGTATGTAAGTACATGATTACAACTTTTGGACAAGGCATTTTACTAAGGTAGACAACTGTGCACTAGGCACTCTTTCACCAAGGCAAGAGGTGCAGCGAAGGCTTATCCAAGTTAGTTTCATATTTTCTTGATGAATTGATAAGTTCTAATTAAATCAAACTAATATATTCCATGTACAAATTTTGTGCAAGTAGAGCAATCTATTATTGTTATAGTATCCAAAAAAGATAGTTCTATCTCTTTAAGTGAAGTATAAACATGAAGCAAACTGCAGACACAA